CCAAACTCCCTGAGGGACCGAATTACTGGGCTGAGGGTTGTGGGGACCATAGTCTCCGGGGAAATCTAGCTCAATTGGCATAACATAGTTTATAAAGACAATGTTCTACATCCTACTTTGGTGAGTAGCGTCTGGGGTCTTAAAAGCTTGTGAGTGGCTATCTAAGATACTCCACTGTTCCCACACCATTCTGGAGCAAAGGAGAATGAAGAAAACCAAAGACACAAGAGAAAGATTAGTCCAAAGGAATAATGGACCACAATTACCACAGCCTCTACCAGACTGAGTCCAGCGTAACTAGATGTTGTCCAGCCACCACCACTGACTGCTCTGACAGAGATCACATTAGAGGGTCCCAGACAGAGCTGGATATAAACGTAGAACAAAATTCTAACTCACAAAAAAAGACCAGACTTAGCAGTCTGACAGAGACTGGAAAAACCTTGAGAGTATGGCCCCTGGACACCCTTTTAACTCAGTACTGAAGTCACTCCTGAGGTTCGCCCTTCAGCCAAAGATTAGACAGAGCCATAAAACAAAATGAGACTAAATGGACACACCAGCCCAGGGGCGAGGACGAGAAGGCAGGAGGGGACAGGAAAGTTGGTAATGGGGAACCCAAGGTCAAGAAAGGGAGAGTGTTGACATGTCGTGGTTGGCAACCAATGTCACAAAACAATATGTGTATTAATTGTTTAATGAGAAACTAATTTACTCTGTAAACCTGCATCTAAAGCACAATAAAAAAGAAAAGAAATACAAAATAAATAATAAAGTTATTGAGGGGAAAAAAATAAAGTGTATAGTTTAGTGGTTTTTAGTATATTCACATAGCCGTGCAGCCATCACGAGAATCTAATTTTGGAACATTTTCATTACCTGAAAAAGAAACCCCGTACACAATGAGATATTTTCAATTCGCTTTTTAAAAAATGAGGTAGTTCTCCAGGTATTTAAATGGAAATATATTTGCGATGGGCAAGAAGTGCAAAAGAAGCATGTTGCAGAGAATATACAACATATGCCATTTATTTATAAAAGTCGATATATATGCACATATATAAATATATCTGTGTTTATATTTACATTTTATTTATTCATTTATTTATTTGTATATGTAGAGAGTACTACGTCTGGGGAAGGAAGTTTTATATACTTTTATACTTGAAGACTTTTTTTTACATTAAGAGTGCATTTATTTTAAAAACAACAGCTTAAAACTGAAATAAGGAATGGGAGTTTCCAAAACTGATAAAGGGGTGTTTAGCAGAAACCGCAGCAAATATAATATGAAGATTTGAAAGAAAGTAAAATAAATGACTTTTTGGCTAGCCTTCTAGTCTTCCATTAGATGGCGCCATTGTCAAATTTCTGCAGTTGCAGATTGGCCTGGGGAAGGCAAAGAGGAGAGAGTGAGAATGGATCGGACCATCCACTGTTGCTGCCTATAAAGTCTTTTTATTGTTGCTTGCTTTCCTATTGAGTCACTTGAAATATAAAATATTTTTTAAAGTCCTTTTAGAAATATCCTGGTAGGGAGAAACTAAATGAAGTGCTTATTAAATGAATGCAGTCATTAGATGAAAAATACCATCAAATACATGTATAATCTGGTGCTTAGGAACCAGTTGCTTTCTTTCAGATCTGTAAGAATTTGACACTGCAAAATACTCCCTGCTACTCTGGAATTTTCCATAACTCTGAGCAGACTGGGCTTCCTAACTTTTCACCATCAAAAGCTCCTCCATTATTTATATTTCATAAATCTCATTGGGAAGACTTTATCCAAAAAGGCATTTACTAAGTAACAATAATTTTTCTGTTCTTATGTGTTTGTGTGTGTATTTAGTTAACTAAAGTTCCTGAAAGACAAGGATGACCTGGCTAGGTTGACAGAATTCCAGCCAAAACCTGGAGGAACTCCAGCTGAGTGGTAAGAGCAAGGGCCCTGAGGCCAACTCGCAGATCTGCCCCTAACCAGCACTAGGGCTATGGGTGAGTTACTGTAGCTGTACCAACCTCATAGGACTTAGCGACTAGTGCAGTGAATCACCTGGCACATTGCCATAAAATGCCAGGCATTTTATTCAACCTGTGCTACCTCCCCACAGGTAACCACTTGGACTCTCTCTCACTGATTACCAGTTTCTACCCGCTAGAACTCCCAAGTGATGCACTGTTGTTCTGGTACACCAAGAACTGACACAGTTCAAGAGCACTTCTCTTTCCAGCTTAGATGTCAAACTCGTGATGTTTACATAGTTGGTGAGCTAAGTAACACCAGATTCTTATGTTTACAGGTTTATGAACAGTCATCGAAGCAGCATTGCTCTTGTGCAATTTTTGTGAAATCCCTTGGGGTTTAGGCATCTAGTGCTGCTTTAACAGAAATACCACAAGTGGATGGCTGTAACAAGGAGAAGTTTATTCTCTTGCAGTCTAGGAGGCTAGAAGTCCAAATTCAGGGTGCCAGCTCTAGGGGAAGGCTTTCCCTTTCTGTCGATTCTGAGGGATGGTTCTTGTCATCAACCTTCCACTGGTCTAGGAGCTTCTCAGGGCAAGAACCCTAGGTCCAAAGGACAAGCTCTGCTCCCAGTGCTGCTTTCTTGGTGGTATGAAGTCCCACTGTCTCTCTGCTTGCTTCTCTCTTTTATATCTCAGAAGAAATTGACTTAAGACACAACCTACTCTTGTAGATTGAGTCCTGCCTCATTAACATAACTGTCTCTAATCCCACCTCATTTAACATCATAGAAGTAGGATTTAGAACACATAGGAAAATCACATCAGAAGACAAAATGGTGAACAATAACACGATACTGGGAATCATGGCCTAGCCAAGTTGACACATTTTTGGGGGACACAATTCAATCCATAACACTTCTTACTGAAATGGTACCACAAAAGTAAAGAGGACAGAGTGGAATATTGGTGAGTCCTATTCATTCGGTAAAAGAGTCAGTTTGCAAATATTCATAAAGATAAAAGTTTATCTAAATAAACACTCAAGAGCACATTTAATTGGTCTCTAAGATGAGATCTCAGATGGGGTGAATATTAAAGAACAGATTACCATAATTTTGACAGTTGGTCAGAATGTGGATTACTTACAGTCAAATCTACCAGCAGGTGGCTTTGTGTTTCCTATGGGTAAGTGGAACCATATTAAACCTAAAAAGGTAACAATTTCTTACTGACTGCAAAATGCAATTCTATAGGCAAACCATGGTTTTGAACCAGTTTATTCTGTTTCTCCCCCCTGCTGAAAATTTGCCTTCCCATCCCAGATATATTGAATCGGAAGCTACATTTTAACAAGAACCTCAAGTGATTTTTATGTATGCCTAAGAAGTTAAATGAGATCCCCAGTTGATTCCTGTGTATACATAAGAATTTTAACAGGATCTTGTTAAAATGTAGATTCTGATTCAGTATATCTGGGGTGGAAGGGCAAAATTTCAGCCAGGAGGTGAACCGGCATGAACTGGTTTGAAGCACTGAAGCAAACCCCACAGATATATGAAAGTTAATTTTATTGCAAGGGGATGAAAAAAAGAGTTTCTTTCTCTCCCTTAGAAGGGAAAGAAGAAGAATTTTAACTTTTTTTCGTGCTTTTCTTTTAATGATGTGTGTGTGTGTGTGTGTGTGTGTGTGTGTGTGTTGGGTGTGTGTGTGTAAAGGGCTCACAAGATGGTGACCTCCTTAGGGACATTTTTGTAGCCCGCCACTCAGCAGGTACAGGACATTTAGTGACCACCCAGCCAGTGAGAGTTGAATGGACTATATATACATTTTGCTAATTTCTGGGCAGCAAATTGAGGGTGATTTCAGCATTGGGAGCAGCTAGGAAGCAGACAGCTCCTCCCGACAAACTCCCTGGGTGGCCCTGTGGTGTTTCTGACTTTAGGGCCTTCCTTGCCCTCTTAGGACCTAGGTCCCAGGAAAACAAAGCTTTCTTACACTGGTGACTTCTGTGCATGCCTGGGTGGGTGGGATGGTTTTTGAAGATGTATTTTGCCTGGAGTTGAAGTAGGGAGGGAGTGGAAAGGGTATGCGGCAGGAAAAGCTGTATTTGTTTTAGGTAACAATATTATTCTAGGTACGGTGTTAGATTTCTTAACAGTTTTATTCAATATAATTTACATACCATCAAATTCACCTATTGTGAGTGTTTATTCAGTGTTTATTAGTTAGAATTGCAAGATGAAATACAGAACTCCCAGTTAAATCTGAATTTCAGATAAACAAGAGATACTTTTTTAGTATAAGTATATCCTATACAATATTTGAGACATAATTATCCTAAAAAAAATTGTTGTTTATGAGACTTTCAAATTTAACTGGATGTTTTGTCGTTTCATATGCTAAATTTATGAACCCTATTTTTAGTAAATATATAGAGCTGTGCAACTATCACCATAATTCAGTTTTAGAATGTTTCCATAGTTACTGCAATAATGCGGATTGGAGCTGCCTGCCGCAATAGCCAATTCTGAGACAGGGGTGAGGTGAGTAGCAAGAGTTTTATTATATATCGATATATAGGAGACAGAGGGGAATAGATTTGTCCAAAACACCCATCTCCCCAACTGGAGATTGGCCAAAGGCTTTTATAGGGACAGGATTATGGGTCTTAGAAGTTTGTGTTAGTTCCCCCTTGAGGTGGTCACATCCCAGATGAGTTAAATCTTCTCTTGGGAGTTATCTGGGGACATCCTGGTTTTCTTGTCCCAAGATCAGTGCTTTGTTCAGTTTGTCATTCCTAGATCATTATTACTTGTTTTCCACCCTCCAAAGAGGAACATCAGTTAATCTTAAACCGTTTGTAGAGACTGAAACTGGAAGGAAAAACAAGATCATAAAACAATGTGGGGGTTAGCAATGGGGAGTAATAGTAGTGAGCTGGGCCTATACAGCCTCTTCCACGCCCCCCTTTTATTGAAAGTTCCTCAGTCTTGATAAACAGGGCGTTGCTTCTTTTCTGACGACTTCCTGCTAGTTAGGGGCTTCGGTTGGGGTGACAAACCACCCGATTGACTAGGGGCCATAGATGGGAGGTGAGTTAGAGTGGAAATTGGCTGCATCTTGGTGAATTAGATGACATTCGTCCTCAGAGCTTGAAAAAGGGGCATCTCGACTTACCAAGGTAAAAATTTTTCTAGCCTTAAGAGTATTTGTAGTTCCTTTTGTTAATATTCTCATAAAACAGGGAACACAAAAACGAACTAGAATAATCACTATTCTTAAGGTTCCTCTTTCGGGCTCTTCTGTGGCCCACTTAACTGGACCTACTGGAGTTAGGGCTGAGACTACACACAGGAGGGTCAGAGTGTACCCAGCTTGCAGGGTCAGTATCCCCTTTGCATGTAAGATCACTGGCACTTTTTCTGTCCAGGTCTCCTGGAAAAATAGAAAGATAGAGGGAAACAAGATCAAAATCATTGTACTGTGAGCTTCTTGAACTTGTACTTCAGGCCCTGAATTGGAGAACAAGAGTATGGTGGCTCCTTGTTTTCTGCTTCTTTCTCTTCTTCTGGCAGGGCTGCTTTTACTCTCAAGTGATGCACCCATGCGGCTACTCTTGCTAATTTCAGAGACGAGTAGGTGGTCAGGAGAACTTCGAAAGGTCCCTTCCACTGAGGGGCCAGTTGATCTTCCAGAGGTTGATTCTTCTAGGTTTTTAACAGGGCTTGATCTCCGATCTCTGGATTGGAACCTGTGGAGGGGAGTGTCAGAAGGAAAAGACAAATGAAAAGAAGCATACTGATCAACAGTGTTTATGACAGTTCTCAGAGAACAGACCCAGTCTCTTTTCTTTACCTTGGTCATCACCGAGGTGGGGAAAGTCGACTTTTTCAGGAATGGTCTCCATATATTAATTCATTAGGGCTCAATATGAGCCCGCTTCAAGGGGCTGCCGGGATTCTGAGCAGGGCAATGGTGAGAACTTGTATCTAAGTGGAGCTTGTCTCCTGGCAAAGTTTCGCCAAGGACTTTTTCAGAGTATGCTTCATCTTTTTGGTCTTTCCAGTCGATTGTGGTCTCCAGGCTGAGTGTAATTTCCAATTTATATCTAAAACCTTATTGACTTCTTGGGTGACTGTTGCCATAAAAGCTCTCCTATTGTCACTCTGTACTGAGACTGGAAGATCAAAACAGGGTGTGATTTCTTTGAGTAACGCCTTGGTCACTTCTTGGGCTCATTCGGTTCTACAAAGGAAAGCCTCCACACAGGCTGAGTAGGTGTCCACAAAAACCAGCAGATATTTCTCTGAGGTTCACCGTTCAGCCTGGGAGTGGACAGCCCCATAAAACCAAATGGGACTAATGAGGTTCAGTAGTCCAGTGACAAGGGCCAGAAGGCAGAAGGGGACAAGGAAGCTGGTGATAGGGAACCCAAGGTTGAGTAAGGATATTGTTGATGTGTTGTGAGATTGTTAACCATTGTTATAGGGCAACATGTGTAGTAACTGTTAAATGAGAAACTATTTTGTTCTGTAAGCCTTCATCTTAAGTAAGAATAGCAGCACAATTGGAAGAGCATAGTCAATATCACTGAACTGTGCATGTAGAAATTTTTGAAATGGTGTATCTTTGGCTATGTGTATTTTCACCAAAAAAAAACGTAGAGAAGTTAGAGGGTTGACATGTTGTGGGGTTGTTAACCAACGTCATAAAACAACATGTGTACTACTGTTTCATGAGAAACTATTTGTTCTGTAAGCCTTCACCTGAAGTACAATAAAAAACAAAAACAAAAACAAAAACAAAAAAACCCAGCAGATAGTTAAAATTTCCACGTGTCCAGGGCATTATACCATTGCCACACGAAGGGGATCATTGATTGCCTTCAGGAGTTCCAGGATTTCTGGGACATGTTTTATTTCTTCGTTGGCACATGTCAGAAGTCCCCTTTCTTTCTACAAGGCGCCGTGTGAGTGAAGGACCAGATGAGCATATTTATTATCAGTATATGCAGTTATGTGTCTGCCTACTCCTAGTCACATGGCCCGCCCGAGGACTATGAGTTCTGCCTTTTGAGCCAAAGTGCTGGCAGGAAGTGGAGCTGCCTCTAAGACCTCACTTCGTGTCACCACCGCATATCCTGCCTTGTGGCATCCTTCACATAGAAAGCTACTGCCACCTGTATACATTTCTATCTCTGGGTCAGTCAAGGGAACATCTGAGAGATCTGGTCTACTAGAATAAACTTCTTCAGTGATCTCTAGGCAGTCACGTACGGGGGCATCTTCCGAAGTAGGCAGCAATGTGGCCGGATTGAGGGACGAGACAGCCTTCAGAACCACATTGGACTTGTCTAACAAGATTGCCTGATATTTTCACATCCATCCTGCAGTGAGCCAAAAGCCCCCCTTTTGTTCGAAAAGAGGCAAAACTGTATGTGGTGTGTTTACCGTTACCTTTTATCCAAGGGTGACTTTCTTGGCTTCCTGTAACAGGTCACATGTTGCAGCCACGGCTCAAAGACAAGGGGGCCATCGCCAGGCCACGTTGTCCGACTGTTTTGAAAAGTAGGCCACCGGTTGCCTGGCTGGTCCCAGGGTTTGAGTTAGTGCCTCCAAAGCAATTCCCGGTCTTAATATCAGTCCATTCAGTGGCAAATAGAGGCTGAGACTCAGGGTGTAGAGGAATACAAAAGAAGGCATCTTTCAAGTCCAGTACTGAAAACCAAGCACATTGTCTGGGTACAGTAACCCAAAGGGTATATGGATTGGGCACAATTGGATGAATGTCCTCTACTATTTGGCTGATTTTCCTTAGGTCTTGAACAGACTGATATTCTCTTGTTCCCGGTTTCAACAGTGGTAAGACAGGGGTGTTGTACGGAAACAGGCAAAATTTCAAAAGTCCAATTTTTATGTATCGATGCATCAGTGGTGTGATCCCTTCCAAAGCTTCCTTGCGGAGGGGATATTGCCTCTGGTTTATAATAGGTGCTTCAGGTTTTAAAGTAATTTTAACCTGTGTGGCTGACTTGGCCCACCCAGGCCTTTCTTATGTCCAGACCTCTGGATTGACATTTTGTTGAATATGGAAAAGAATGCCACTGTCACTATTTCTTCTTGCAACAGTGTCGCTGGCAAGGCGCATGCGTTTTCAGGGGGAATCTGTAGAAAATGGAAAGGAACAGCTCTGCCCTCCTATTAGGGTTACTCCGATAAGGGGGATTGTGAGTCTTCCAGTTATACAAGTTGGAGGTAGAGAAAGAAGTATGTACTAACATTGTTCCTCCTTCAGCTGTAATTTTTCTCAGAGGAAATTGCCCTGCCCGAGCCCCAGCAGTACCCTCACCGAAAGCAGTACCCTGACGGGTGTGTGTAGTGGGGAGACCATACTCGATGAAGTCGGACTCTTACTTCCCGGTTCCCTTCCTTCATCAGTTCCTCTCAAGCTGGCCAGACTAGAATCAGGCTCGGCCCTTTCGGTGGGGGATTCTGCCATCATTCCTCAACCCCGACCTGTCGGCTTCTAGCGTACCTTCCCTATATGGTGTGGGGAGCCGAAGCAGTTATTGGGGCTATTCCTTCTAAGAGGGGACCCTCTGGTGAGGATTCAGGAAACACTTTCGCCTTTGGCTTTCCCTGGAAAAGAACGTGGTTAGAGAGATTTAAAGTTTGCTAGAGAGACATGCAAGCTTGAATATAGGGAACTTTGTCCCATTTTTTCCTACAAAAGAAGTCAAGCTGAAAAATTGTGCCGTAAGCCAAAGACCCATTTTGGAGCAAATATTTCTGGTCCACCCACTAGTATTGGGGCCATACATTGTTATATAAGCACATTATTTTCTTTCTTGTCATAGGCGCATATCTATACCCCCTCCAGTTTGCTAGAATGCAGCCTAGAGGAGATTTGGCTGGGATAGATGGGCCTCCCCCCATAATAGGTGTTTGTTTATGCATAAGCAGCATCAGTAACTGCTTTTCACGTGCCTCAACGGCAACTCCATTTTACAAAACCTCAGATTGAGTATTAATATAAATACAGCAACATTTATCTATTAAGGCACAAACTGTTTCTTGAGAGACTAACAGGAAAGGCTAATACTATTCTATTTTGTAAAATCATAGCTCAAATTTCAGACACTTCTCTGGTTATGATAGTTACAACTTTGCCAAGTTTACCAACAGAACTCCTAATTCAAGAGTTACAATATCTAAACTCATTAGTTAGATAATTTAGGATAAAGGAAAATGATTTCTTATATCCAGAAAGTAGGGCCTTAAAACATCAGCAATATTCTTACATAAAACCCATAATTTCCTTTCGTTTACTCAGTGTTAAGTAGTTAATTTCTGTTCCATGTGATTCTGGATCAGCAGTAATGTGTGAACTCATCACCTTCTACATAAGAGTTCTGGATAGCTTGATGGAGTCTAGTCACAGTCCTTTTCATAAGTCCAATATAGTTCATCTTTTTGTTGAGATATTTGGTCAAATCTTTTCAGCAAATCAGTAAAGTTAAAACTTACCTGCAGATGACAAAGCTTAATATGGCCATGATTAACTTACAAAATAATACTCTTAATAGTGAAAGACCTTATAGAAGTTAATTACAAGTGCAACATAAAGGCCAAATAAAACCAGTTTAAAAAAACTTTAGATAAAAATATTTCTAAATATAACTATTAACCGTATTTTTAAAGAGCTTTAGATATAATACATAATAATCTTGAGACAAAATACCATATAGTCAGGATATATTAAGAATATACCAAGTCTCTAAATACCCGAGTAGTAATAAAAAGAGCTTCATAGGTAAATGATGTGAATTCTTCAATTAAACTACTGGCTTTGAAAATGCTAGATTCAAAAATAAATTTATGACCAAGTTAACAATAAAGAGATAATAATAAAATTATGACATAATATTATGTATTTGCTGTCTAATCCCAGGCAAAAACATAACAGGAAATACTAACATATACATTTTAACCCAACAAGAATCAGGCATGTCTCTTGATTTTGACAGCACTTTCCATACAATTTATAACATGTTAAATAAACATTTTTATTATTTTCCTTTATGAAAATTTTTTTTGTGGCTTTCCATGAAGTTTCAGAGTTGTCAGGAGTTGATTATAGGTCACTATGAGACAATACTTAAGTTATTTAACCAAAGATCTT